CCGGGTACCCCTCGCCATTCCCCGCCGGACTTCCCGCACAGCCACCAGTCTCCTACGGAGCTCCTCCTTTCCTCCAGCAACAACAACCTCCACCATCCGATAATAGATTTACGGGCCTACCAGCCGCTTCAAACCTTCCTCAGCGTCCTGCTTTTGCTGTGCCTTCAGTTAACGCGCACGAAATGCAACAGATGCACATGGGACACGTCCCGTCCCCCATCCCCGCAACTTCGGGTTACTCTAATGCATCCAGCGCCCAACCAACCGAGAATGTCTCCGCACCCGTTGACAATCAAATTTCAGGCGCAGCCAATGACGTCGCATCCAAGACAGAGGGTATCAACAAACCCAAGAAAGAAAAGACCAAGCCCGCAGTCCGATTGGTTTACAATGATGACACGCTTAGTCCAGAGGAGAAGATGGCGCAGCTACCTCGATATGCATACGTTCCCGACAAAAGCACGCAAACCGCCCTCAGCGAGCTCCCCGGCAACGCAATCGTGGGAGCTATTCAAGATTCCGACACAGTGATCGATCCGGCACATTAAGTTCTGCTTTGTTTTTTCCTGCTGCATTTGCAAGTGATGGAGTTCCGGAACCCAGCTAAGTCGACACATCAAAACTTCTAGTTACATATGAGCATTCTCCTGGCTGGATCTTTGGTTGTCATCAGTGGCTCTGATTCCAAATCCTAGTCTGGCGAGTCCTCCCCCGTCCCACCATCTCTCTCTCCCGACAACCCCAGGAAACGTCGATGCTGTTTGAGTTCGATGCTGCCAGATAAAAAGAACATTCTGAAAGACATTGAAGGAGAAAATCGAAAAGGTCCACCAAAAAAAAAATCATCAAAAACCAAAAGAAAGATTTGAGAGGTTCCCTTGAGTCGCTCGTTCGGGGAAGGGAGGCCCAGGTCTAAGCTATTGGCTCGTGAAAGTCTTGTTGACGAGCCTACGTACAGTACGTGCCTTGCCCTTTGATCCTCCCTCCTGACCCTCCATTGGAGGTTTAACCCTGGAGCAACCTGTTTGATGTGAATGCCTGAGACGGCAAAATGATGCCATCTACGGTCATGTAAGTTTTTAGCGTTTCTCTGGAGGTAGGAAACCCATCTCGGGGCGTTTTGTGGAATCCCATATCGTTCTCGTTATCTACCAATGCATGTTTGATTTCAGTGATCTCGTCTCCCTAGGTATACTTCGTATCCGTAAGGCAACACCAATCGATGTATGTATACCACATGCAACTAAAATCAATACGCAAATGACTGATAAAAGACTCAATTGATGTACAAGTATCACTAAAACCGAACTAACAATTTAATTCATTTCCATTTATCTCTCTTACAATCTTTCCCTTTTCATTCCCATTCCAATCCCAATCAAGCCTTCTTCTCCCTAAACGCAATCCCAAAAACAAAAAGTCCATAAGTAGCCAGCACAGACAAAGCCAACGGAACAGGCTTTCCACCCGTCTTAATCACACGTGGAACAGAGCTTCCACCCAACACAGCCGATGCCAGGAGACCGAGTTCCTCGCCGTAGGATTGGCCGGCGCGCAGACGCAGGAATGAGAGGAGGTAGACGAGGCCAACGGAGACTCCGGCGATAATTGAGGGGAGGGAGCCGGTCCGTGAGTAGCCGATTATTCCGCCCAGACTTGTTAGGAGGGAGAGGACTAGAGCGGAGGTTGTTGGTGGGGCCTGCAATTGTTAGGTTTGTTAGGTTTAGGTTCTCTAGGGCAGATGTGCGTGGATTGGATAGGGCATGTGGTGGGGGGTATACCATCTTGTAAATTTAGGGCGGGTTGTCTCTTCTTTTTTGGAGGTTTGGAGGATAATGCGTCAAAAGGAAGAGGGTGAGATCAGGAGAGATGTAAGTTACGCAGATGAAGCTCGGTCATGCAATTGATTAGTCATATGACGAAGTCTGGGGTAAATGTGCACGCATAATTTAATGCTGGGAACTATATAATTTATGTGTTTGGGAAATGTTTATAGGACTACGATCTCAATGTCGTACTCGTGGAATGTGTTCATATTGATGTAAATATGCATCTTCAAGGGCAATTTTACTGTGCATATAACGCATTGTCATACCGAGATAGGATAGTCTATTTACCAGCCATTTACAGCAACAACTTGGTCGCAGCGCCAATTCGTTCCTGGATGATGGAGCTCCATTTCTAGAAACAAGTAAGTTAGCAATTGTACCTAACGCAGAAAGGGTTCATAAATAAACACATACCTCGGCATTCTTCACATCTCCGGCCTCAAGACTCTCTACCAGTCCAGGGTAGGTGGCTCCTGAGTAGCCAGTCCAAATGCCAGGGGCAAAGACAACATGCTTGAACCATTCACGGCCATCCAGACCAGGTTGGTACAAGAACGCCCGCTCAATGCCCTTGTACTTCGCATTGGTAACGCGAATCTGGAACCACAGTCTCACCTTCTTCCACCAGTGGTACCAAGGCACGTCATCACCAAGCTGGGACTGCAGGTCTGCAGCATGGGCATCGAAAGCCTTCGCGGATTCCTGGAACTCAAGAATGGCCCTGTCTAGAGGCGCGAAGTCGAAGTGGGTCTTCTCGGGGAGTTTGTCCGCCGCAGGCTTGATGTGGTCTAGGTAGGATCCAAGGCCAAGAGAATAGTCGGTGGCGTTAAGCGCAAGAAGAGGAGACTCGACCAATTGTGCTGCTGCCAGAGCCCAGAGCTTTGTGCAAGCTTGATGGTAGAGGAAGTCCTTGTCACCGTACTTCTCCATCCATGCGAAGCTGTCGTAGTTGGAGTGGTAGTGGTAGACTGGGTCATTCTTACCGCGACCAAAGCCAAAGTCGAGACTGGCGACACCGGCGAAATCTTGGAAGGCAGTGAAGTCACTGCCGCTGCCCATGGTCGAGATCTTGCCATTCCAGACATCGCGAACTGTCTGGCCCCGCACGGTCTGGTTAGGGGAGAGCACCAGAGCAGTGACATCATTGATGACCTTGTTCAATAAGGGACTGGCCCGAGGTTCGAAGTTGGTACCCGCAGCAGCCACATCGACATTCAGATAGGCGATGTTGGCCTTGGAGAGCCATGGGAGGTATTCTTCTACCCACTCGGTTGAACCAAGAAGGCCGTACTCTTCGCCGTCCCAGCTGGCAAAGACAACAGTGCGCAATGGCTTCCATCCTGCCTTGAGAGCTTCGCCGAAGCTGCGGACGACTTCGTTCAGAGCAGCGGATCCACTGTTAGGATCACCTGCGCCACCGGCAATCCATGCATCACGATGGTTACCGAGGATAACAACCTCATCGGGGATATGGCCCTTGATGGTACCAATGACGTTCCATAGTGGGGTTGTTACATACTCCTGGAGGTTGTGGAGGTTGATCACCACATCCTCGGGAGATGGTCCGATGTTGTACTCTACACCCTTGTAGCCGAGACCGCCTCCCTGCCAGAACTCGTTGAAGTCCGATGCTTTGGGACCGTGGCCGTTAAGCGCCTTCAAGAATGGTAGAACCTCCTTGTACGAGATTGGGAGAGATGGGATTGAAGGGATGGAGTTGTGCGGATCTTGTCGTTCAACTCCAGGCTTAGATGCGTATCCCGGGGTTGTGGGGTCACCAGGGAGGATACCTTGTTCAAGTTAGCTTTGCAATGCCATTACGTTAGAGGAAAAGCCTTACTGAGGAATTGAGTGCTGCCTCTCTGGATAGCGCTGGGATTCCGTGCAGGTCCATTAGGATAGGCTTCATAGCCATTTTCCTCGGTAATTTCACCATCTTCCTGAGGATCACTGTAGATAACTACGCCGACCATGCCGAGCTCCTGCGCACGCTTCACCTTCAGACCACGGAAGATCCCACCATACTTGGCGATGGCAATCTTACCCTCCAAGGTGATGTTGGCCTTGACGAGGTCCTCAAAGTCCTGGTACGTGCCAAAGTTGACATACACATACTGTGCGGTCACATTGCCTGTAGCAGAATAGCCATGGAATACTGGGACACGGTCTGGCAGGCCGGAAGTAGGGTCCTCTTCGAGAACATCCTCCTCCAATGTAGCTTCGAAGGTCACTTCAGTCTTATCACCGGACTTTTTCAAGAGGGCCAAACGGTGTTCGAGCGGGTAGTTGAGGTAAATGTCATAGGTCGCAAGACTGGTATCCTCCACGCCGAATTCCTTCCATTTTTCCAAAGTCCAGAGAGCCTGGGACAGGTTCTTTCCTCCCAAGTGTGGGCCGGCGGTATAGTATCTGCTCCATTCTCGGGCCTTATCTGCGGAAGGCACATTGAGGAGGATCTGCTGGAGCTGTTCGTATGGCAGACCATAGCTTTCTGGCCACGCTTCGTGGGGGATTGGATGGGCACCAGGGAGATAGGACCAAATTGAGCCGCCCTCTCGAGGTAGAATGGCGGTGGGAAGTAGGAATAGAAGAGTCGCCACAGAAAGCACGGCTGCAAGGGAGATAGTACACGCTCGACGAAGAGCATGGTGCGGATATCTATGCCGCTGAGGAGCGACATTGACCTCCAGCAGAGGTGTGGTCTCTGAATATCGCATGTCTTTCTCCCTCATCTTGTGGATGAATGAGGGAAGAGTGAAAATGACAATCTTGCTCAGGTGGAATGCTTCTCCGCATGGTATCATCGACCGAGCGATCACCTTATCGGCTGACAAATCTACCCCTCACGGGTCAGCCCGCCATCAAATTGCTTCTTTGGGCCGCTGCTTGTCCTTGATCTATGCGAGGTACTCGGTTTTTCTCACTCATGGTGATGATCATGTAATGATTGGGTCTTCGATTGAGAATGAATATATGTGGTATTCCAGTAAATATAAGACAAAACATGAGTGGTATCATAGTGGCTATCTATATACAATCGCTCAGGATGATAAAAAAAAATGCATGACCCTTGAAATGGGGGCAAAAAGAGATAAAACACAAGGCCCAGCCAGAAACGAGATGAAACAAAATAGCTCCCGGGGGATAGAGTGTAAGAGAGTAAACCCACAATCATGATTCTTCAACATCTTCCTGTACCTGGACAACATTGAGATCTGGGTGGACTCTTGCACCAATGTCCATACTCTCCCTCATAATCCGACGAGCGTCTTCGTCGTTAACTTTCATGTCATCCTTGACCATGAGCACAGCCAGCTCAGGCACAAGGACAGATTGTGTGTAGCCAGCCACGCCCGCCGTCTTGATAAGTTCATCTGTTGTTGCCAGGCGACGTACAATCACAGAAAACCGGCTGATGATTGTTTCTAGTCTAGAGTAAACAAAGATGTTAGCGTAGTTCGACAAGGAATGGTTTATATATCACATACATTTTGGTTGCACCCCTGGTACCATAATAACCACAGGTCATCGTCTCAAGTGTCTTGGCATCATCCACTCTCACACGGAAGTTTCTCGCTTTCCCTGGTGCGAAAGAGGTACTAAGGATGTTTCGGTAATAAGATGAAGCACCAGGGACAAGTAGTTTTTCAAGTTCGGGGAAATAACTCTGAACACGCTCTTCAAACCCATCCCAATGAATCTCGGGGTACCCGCGGTCACGCCACAAATCCATCGCACTGCGGAGTTTGTGTGATTCACAGAACATCACCTGTTCGCGAATACGTTGCTTCGGCTTTGCTTTGAACAGTTCCAGCGAAGCCCAGTCTACTTCTTTACGGCATATCGGGCACAGGGCTTGGGGGGTGGTGATGGTTGGCGCTTCTCTTTCGTTGTGAATTCATCGAGTTGCGACATTTGCTCACAAGTGGAAGAAGTCGGGGACGAGAGAGGTGAATCATCGTCAAGCAACATTGCTTCGTATTCTTCCATGGTGTATGGGCCGTGCGAGAAACTGGAGTTTGAGTCTTCCCCGCCACGAGGTTCTCTGAAACTCGAACTTTCAACATCCTTTGGCATAATAAAGGTCTCCTCGGGTTCTTTGGGGGCTTCCCCACTGGCGACGGCTCTTTCGATTTCTCAGTCGGCTGTGGGGGGAAAGATGGCCTGTTAAAATAGCTCGTCTTAGACACAGACGCATATTTCGTTGCCTTTCGCCGCTTGTGACTCTGCGAGGAGAAGGAAAATAAATCGTCACTATCAGAGCCCATCATGGCGCTGAGGTTTCGCGAAAATTCGCCTTTGCGAGGGTTTCGACTATGGGTTTGTGGACTACTGTTTCCTTCGGCAAGCTTCGCCTCCAAACTCGTAGTCGTATAGTTCACCTCTTTGCGATACGGGGAAGCATCGCTATCGCTAGCTTGCTCTTCATCGGAGCTTAAAGGGTCAGCATCGGTGTCGATATCCCACTCTTTCTTGATGTTAGGTTGAGCGGCATTTGAAATCGGGTTTTCCGAACCCTCTTCATTGCAGCCGAGAGGCGGAGAGCTTGGAGGCGGGGAGCTCAGAGGTGGTGAACTCAGAGGAGAGCTGAGAGACTCTATGTCCGTATCAATCTCTAGCTTGTTCTCGATGCTAGGCCGAGCAATGTCCGGCATAGGGTCTTCGACTTCCTCTTGGCTGGCGCTTAAAGGTTTGGCATCCGTACCAACCTCGGCTTCTTTCTTAATGCTAGTTGGAGCAACATCCACATTGGAGCCTTCTGCTTCCTCTTCATCGGAGCTCAAAGGTTCGGCGTCTGTATCAATCTCCGGTTTTCCTTCGACACTAGGTTGACCAGCCTCTTTCTTGATTGTCGCGGAATCGATATTCGCATCTTCGGGCTCAGGTTTATTGAAAGTAGACAAAAGATGTCTGGACGGAGGATTGCTCTTCGTCATGCGATTGGACGCATAACTGGAATCAGGTTTGGCCTGAGCCGCCATGGTGGACGGTGGCGGAGGATTTCAGTTATCAATTATCAATCGACAGTTATCGGCACCAAATCGAGGTTCTGAAAGCTTCAAGTCAAAGAGAACTAATCCGTGTTCATGCGAAGCGCGTTCCTGAGACCGGGGGAATTCACGGGGCGACGCGTCGTTGCGCGTTTTCAACTCTTCGTGCAAAGGTATCTGCGGTTCAGTTCGAGGTGAAATGTTGAATTGGGGTTGGATTGATCTTTTAGTCTTCGAAACAAAGAACACTCGATTTCGAGAAGCTGAGACAATGGGGACACCTGCTACGGCGGGTTATAGCGCCATATCGGACACCGGGAATTTGATTGGTTGAACCGTCGCTTTCATCCGGCAGAAAATCATTGAGTTCAACGTTCAACATCTATACATCCGTCTATCTATCCACCTATCTATCTATCGTAGTACTCCAAAAATAGCATGTTATATATTGAAAAGTAGTCTCTCAGGAACTATGCTCTTTACCGTTGTTCCATCTCTTCCGGTTATCCATGTCCATTCATTTTTCTAGCTACCACGTTGAGATGGGGGTAAAACACCCAAAAAAGAGACCTAAGCCCGATATCCAATAAAGGCACATACAAAGACGCCAAAAAACTCCAAAGAAGAAGAATCCAATAAAGCCACCTAAATAGACATCGAAAAAAGTTCAAATAATACATTAGACTGAGCAAGAAGCGGAGAACAGGGCGGTGGATTAGTCAACATTCTAAACCAATAATATGGCTGTTTCAGCTTTATCCGATGTGCCGCTATCCGCGTCCGTAGCCAGCGCCAAATTGAGGGGAAACGCGTGACACGCGATTGCCACTCCGATTTGATACTACACTTTTGTACAATGTCCTAGGAGTATCTAGGTACCGCTATGGAGTGTATCTCTGCTGCCAGTTAGCGCTTTCCTATGATAGCTACGGCCGCTTTGTATCAAAAGCTTGGGCAATGGAGATTTTTCGCAATATACAGACAGATCGTCCAGGGAAGGTCTTATGCTCATCTCTCTTGTGGCAGATTTGACCTAGTCCACGTTTATTTTTATATTTACCCCCTTGGGATCTTCCTCTCTTGTATGCCCCACTACTCCCCGGTTAACAATACCTACATATGTAGCTCGCACATAATATAAGTCCGTCGCGGCTAGGTGACAATTGTGCAGCGAAAGAGCACCAAAGAAGATCATGCAAATATACATTCAAGTTGTGTTTATATTATGCTCGTCCCTCAAAATTACCCAAGTCTCTTAGCAACGGAGAAACGATAGTGTCGAAGACACGCTCCTCAAACTTTTTCTCGAGACATAGACCAGACCAAGACAGGCAGCTATTAACCACATCGGCATAATTCGTTCCACTCTCCATGTACACCATTTTAACAAGCCATGACGCGGTATTGAATCTGGACATCAGTGTATCCTGGTTCCCATCCTCCAGATCCAATAATGTCTGGAGAGACTTCCCAAGAGACAGCTCCACCAGCGCGAGCCCCAGTGGTAATAGACGATTCTCCCCGAAATGAGAATACTTATTATCATTTCGAGGGCCTGGTATTGTGCCCGTGGTGGAGAGTGGCCATGATAGGTATAGATTATCCAATAGTACATTGCCACCATCGTCGCTTGTAGCGGCCAGGTAGACATCAGAGATGTCCCACCAGGATTTCAACCAATTACCGCCGAATTGGATCATACCACATGCTAGAGCAGTAGCAATATGAAGGCGGTCCCGTCGACTGATATGCGATAGTACCTCGCGAAGAGGCCTTTGCGGAATGCTTTTTGGGAGTATTTTGACGGCATGCATCGTATATTTCACAGAGGCATCTAGATCATTCGAAATCAAGCCTATACTTTTCCGTCGTCCAATGTCTGATTCAGCGACGCAAAGAGTTGAACAGAAGTCCTGAATTGGCGGAGCAGATAGGGCCTCTCGAACTTTTTCCGATGACCGTGCTTCCTCCACAGGAGGCATATCAAACTGAACCCTAGGCTTCTTCTGGCAATAGGACTTGGGATCGTCATGCAGGGAGAGACTGGCAAGTGTAACTATCTCTTCAACCTGCCAAGGTTCAAACACCACTTCTGTCCAAGTCCATAGGCGCGTTAGATCTGCCTTTTTCGTGTTAGAAAAAATCATTCGAAACTCGGATCTGGCGTCGTAGTCGCCGTTGGGGTATTCTTCGGTGCTCCCTAAGGAGTTTATTTGTAGTTGGAGATGGACGCAATGGTGATTCTTGCATTGGCAGCTCCAGTAGTTTCCTCCAATGATTGCTTTAAACAATCCCTCGGCATGTTTACGAGACTTTTGATACCGTTTCAGAAGGTAGCCCCAGCCCTGCCGCCTCTTCTTGGTATCTTCTAGGTGGAATGACTGGTCGACCAGAGTCTTGAGGATTGTATTGGTTCCGTCAATTTTCACTAGGAGATCATCATAGACTGCCTTGCTGAGGATTTTTCGAAATTTCCATATGTTCCAGGCTTCGGTGACGGGTGTCTGTTGAGGGAATAAATCGGGTTAAGGACTGATCAGACGGTCATTGGAAATGCCAACTACTGACCTTTGTATCGGTTGCACCAATGTCTAGCTTATGTGATAGTTGTTCCAACAGTTCAGAGAGGCCAGCCATATTTCCCATGAATACCTCGTAATTTCGGTCCAGCTTCGAGCGTAGTCGCTTTTGCAAGTCCGGATCCTTCCATCCATCGCCCTGTGGATCACAGATGAGCTCAGAAACTTGATCCTCATCGTTCACGACACCTTCCAAGGCTTGTTCCAGCGTGTTCAGTAGAATCGCATGCTGTGTACGGAGGTTTATTGCATAACCTTTAAACTCTCGTCGGTATCGCCTCAGACCTTTGATCTTCTCTATACCGCGGACGTAGGCATCGATCTGGTTCACGAAGAGCGGGAGAATCGCAAGAGCGAGCCCTGCAGCCTCGATACCAGTGACCATATCCGGTTCTGATCTTTCAACTCCTTGCAAAAGAGAAATGGGGGGTTTTTTCAGCTGGTGCTTACACTAGTTAGTACCCCGCACTAGAGCTGCAATGAAAGATTGCCCATGCACATCTTAGCAACCCATCCCGCGCCTCGATAATGCCGGAGGCTTTGGAGATTCAGGAATTACCGCATAATGGTGGCAATATCGGAGCTGTTGCAGAGCTGTCTCCGCCAGTTTCTCGCATTAATCAACTCAGACACGCTTGCCGACCACACTGAGGAGGTTCCACTGCAAGAATGGAGGGACGAACTGGGTCGACTTCGCGTGTGGGCAGCAAATATCGGTGCTCATCAGACCCATCAATCGTCGCTAGATTACCGTCTCAGGGATGCTTCGCATATCAAGAGTCAGATAGTGAGGCTCTTAGAGCAGTTCCAGGAACTACTCACTGACCTCAAGGATGTGCTCGAAGAGAGCAGCAATGATGAAGCCCAAGACCATCAGTTTGAAGATTTGGGGGATTCAGAAAGTGAGAACTCCACCACAGAGATCCAAGAGATTCACCAAACACTTGTTGAAACGATCGACCAACTTTACCAGTTGTCCATGATCATACGCAAACCAGCACAGCATGATCGATTGGTCGGAACAAAAAAACTGGATTCCGAGCCCTTCCAATTCTGGGCTAAGCAGCATACCTCCAGCAAATACCCCAATGCTGATACGCTTGCTGTCGATCGTATCAGTTCCGCAATGGCGCGACAAAGGGCGATCTTGAAATACCGTGAACGGCATCACGCGAAATTAAGTCAGGGTATCAATTCCGAGAGTGATGGCAAATCGACCATACTGTCAGAAACGGTGGTGACAGATGTGTTTAAGGAGATACCTGGCCAATTTAGCGACATGGCCTCCGAAGCTGGCGTGTCTGAAACTTCATACGGAGGCACCCTGCTCGAGGGCACTGGTTCAGATGCCCCCAAAATACCACCTATACCAAAAAAGGGCACAGGAAAGAGACCCTTTGAATGTCCGTATTGCTTTTACATTATCACGGTTCGAGACAGGAGAGCATGGGCGCGCCATATTTTCCGCGATCTGATGCCGTATGTTTGCATTTTCCCGGGATGCTCAACGCCGAACAAGCTCTACGGGGGCCGTCGACAATGGCATCATCATGTTCAGCAAACACATACTTCGGTATCAAGCACGGATGGTACATACGACTGTTCTATCTGCAAACAGAGCTCTCTTCCTACTGTCACGTTTCAGCGACACGTCGGTCAACACTTGGAAGAGCTTGCGCTCTTTTTACTACCACGAACAGATGAAGACGAAGATGAAAATGAAAATGGGGAAGGGGCGGATGAGAATCTGAGCAACATATCTTTGGACGACAATTCAGTGGAGAGTGCCGAGCAGCGCCATGATATGGACAATGCAGCAACCCCAGGTTCCGACTCCAATCATAGTGATCACAATCCATTAGGAGGGCCAAGCAAACATTCCACATCTTCAGTCGGAGCAAACCTCAGCCACAGAGAGTTCCCAGTAGACCTTGAATCCAACGTGGAGGACAAGTCACCGCAGATGATGGGTCATGGGCAAGGGAATTTCGGGATCATGGGGGGTCCGATTGATCCTAAGACGAAGCGGAGACCGGGGGATTTACCCAAGCCTGTTACAGATATTTTGCGGACTTGGTTCCATGAGCATCTTGATCACCCCTATCCCAGTGAGGAGGATAAGCAGATGTTTATGACAAGTACGGGGCTTTCAATTAGTCAGGTGAGATTTTACAACCAAGGACTGGCAATTTGGTTGTTGTGGCTGGTTTGCTAATACTTCCTTTTTTATACAGATCAGCAACTGGTTTATCAATGCTCGGAGACGGCAGCTTCCTGCGCTGCAGAATCAAATGCACAGTGATACTGATGCAGACATCCGGAAGAAAAACCAGGATACCGAGGGTCTAGAACGAGAGCCGGAGGGGTACCATGACAGGGCTTACACGCGCGACTATGGTGGGTCGCAGCTACTACACAATCCAGAGAAGTTGTTCGAAGAGTCGTCCGAAGAGGAGTTGTCCGAAGATGAGACCAATGAGCGGCTGCGTGAGCCGCAGCAATTCGATCGTGCGTATCAATCCGCGGAGGAGCCTAAGGTTACGGCGCGCTACCGGATTCAGAGTCCTGCGTCGGAGGAGAGGGTTGCTGCTGAGGAAGAAGAGGAAGGGCATGAACAGCTCATCCAGGAGATTAGAGATCAGGACATGCAAAGGAAAAGGGAGGCCGAAAAGGATATGAAGGAAGATACCCTAAAGGATGCTGCCGCTGAGGAGTGGAAGCTCGAACAGGAGCGCATCAAGAAGATGGAGACCGAGAGGGAATTACATGAGGGGCTGCGCAGCTTAGGCTATACCGATGAAGAAATCGACCAAATAATCCACAAGAAGGAGAAGAAGGAACAGAAGAAGGAACAGAAAGAGGAGAAGAACAAGGAGCGTGAAGCGGAAGAGCCAAAGACAACTTGGATCAAGGTATGAAGTACCACCATCACATCGAATAAGGGTTTCTACTAACACCATCCCCAGTGCCACCGCAAGCACCTGCTGCCCGATACCTTGATAGCCTACAGTCTTCCCTGGGACTGGGACGAGGTAAGCCTATTAGCCTACTCTGCACGACCATTCCTCGATTTAACCCAATGCTAACCCTGCTTCCCTGTATCAGGCCGACTCCAACTACATCATCATCAAGAAATGGATTGATGAAGAGTTCCAAGAAGAGCTCTTCGCCCACACACGCCGCATACGCGAGTTCAAGGTCGCCGCCCAGACCTCCAGCTCATCACCGAAAGCGCCTACTGTAAAGAAGGAGCGTCTGTATCTCAGGCGGGAAATAAGCCCTAGCGGTCGTGTAAGGATGGTTCAATGAAATTAGACTCAAAACAATATCGATAGCTCGTCCCTCGTCTTCGATATAACCCAAATAATCTACCAAATTTGCTTCTAGTGAAGCCTCTTGGTTATTCAATGATATTCAATGTTATTTAAAGGATATTGTATAATTGTGCAACTTCTATCTGTCGCTTCTATAGCGGTTACTACGAATATATTTGCTCTACGAAAAAACCAGATAAAGAAGCCAGTTGGGCCAATCCGCTTGCGTGTAACTTGAGATCATATCGTGATAATTGTTGAAGCTAGGGCTGCCTCTATACATAGATGGATGGGCATATACACAATCAGATCCTAGCGAAGCCAAACACGCATGTGCAAGCTATGCGCCTCATTAAGTCTCGGAAACCGAATCAATGAAAGGAAAAGTATAAAGAGAAAAGAGGAAAATCAAGATGAGAAGAACTCTTGAGCCGACACTATTCAAACGTCATTGAGATCTCGCCATCCCGATGTCCCTGATCATGGTCCGCCCAGGCATTGGGCTCCAGGGCCATGGCTCCGAGGGCGCTGGAACCAACCGTCGGCATCGTCGGCATTGTAGAGGCAGTTCTCAACTCTGGACGGGAGTGAATTTCGTCGTGTTGGTATCGTGGGGAGTCATGGAAAGATGTGTCAAAGGTCATTTCCATCTCTTCGTGCTTCGGCACGGGAGAGAATTCATTGGGACCGTGAGGAGAATATTGCCCCGATGCTTGCGGGGGTAACGAAGAAGTCCGAGAAGCAGCTGGAAGTTCGGGCGTCTTCGGCCTCTTGGGTGCAGGAGGAGAGGGCTGAGCGGGTTGTGGTTCTGACGGAGCGTTCAAGTCTAGCTTCATGAGAGGCATAGTCGACTCTAATTCTTTAATTTCGATCGCTTCGGAGTGCAACTCGGCTCGAATGGCCTCGATGTCGAAGAGGACAGTGCCGGGGGTGCTTTCGGGCTCACTTGAATCGCGAGGGGAGGTGTTTTTGTCAACATCATATGTTTCCCATTTCTTCTTTTCCGCCATCTTGCCTCGCTTGAACAGACCGAAGCGCTTCTTCTCTGGCTTGGCCTCTGCTTCTCGACGAGCTTCATCAATCTCGCGGATCAATTCGCGCTGTCGTTCGGCATGATTATCTGGGTCTGGATCCTCAATTTCTGCAAACTCATCCTCAAGAACCTCCCAACCAACTTCCCTCAGGATTCGAGGCATAGCCGTACGATAATCCATATGACCATTCACAAGCGTGGTAATATCAAAGTTCTCGATGCCCGGTATTCCTTCGACAGCTGCGAGGCCGGCGACTTTCATGATGCCACCACTTGTGGCCCGGAAGAGGTAGCCCAAGATCCAATCATTCGTGGCATAACCGTTCACGAATCGCCCAGACACCACACTACGAGCCTTGAGGTAGTCGTCTTTGTTCGCCACAATGGGCGAGCCAAATAGGTATACATTCTGAATTAGACCGTGCGCGCCCTTTTCGGCCAGCTCTTTTAGACAAGAAAAGATCACACGCGCACCGAGGGAGAAACCAAGCAATGTAATAGGCCGGTTGCCAAGATTCCGCTCTCGCAAGGAATCGGCCATGACGAGACCGGCTGAGTTGGCGCGTGCCAACGACACGATCCAGGGATTGTCGATCAAATATGCGAGTTTAGTGAGGACAAGTGGTAGTTGCAAGGATGCCATCAGCGCCATCAGGACGGTACTACCTAGTACTTGTTGCAGACCTTGTGTTAATGCCTAAAAGAATCAGTTAGTTTAATAAGAATTACTGCACATCTTAAAAAGCTTACCTCTGTTGCCAAAATATTGATAGTGTCACCCATGCTTCGAAGCATTTCAGGCTCCCATAGCACGGAATAGATATCGCCCATAATCGGATCGACAGTACTGAAGGGTAGACGGACGTCATCAACCTTGCCGGTCATCCAGCCAGAGACTGTCACAATCAAGTTGACCTTCTTGTTATTATGAAGAGGTCGATATTCGAACGTTTGAACTGCACCCATACGCCGCTGCGAAGCTCTCATTCCAATGGTGCTTCCACCTAAAGTAGCACCAGAAGCGATTAAAGCTGTGCCGCCAGCTCCTCCCAGGAATGCACCGGTTCCAGAGATACCGACTGTAGTAAACCCGGCCGCAAGTCCAGCTCCGATGACGGGTGCCAACAGTCCAGCGGAAAGGCCAATAACCAGTCCACCGCCGACTGTCGCTAAACCCATAATCATATATTTTTTCTTCAAGGCCATCTTGCGACGCTTTTCCATGTGGTCTGACTCATCCCAATTCTCTTTCTCTGCTTGTTCTTGCATTTCGAGGGAGTCTGTGACTCGCTTTTCGAACCGCGAGATCTGTAGCCATGTTACATCCAAAGCTGCACCAACTCTTTCCAGAAGAGTTCGTGACCGAGCGTCGTATGCTGAATTTGCGATAAGCACAAGGAACAGGTCACAGAGGACAGTCCAGCGGAGATCGATATCTATGCGATCCGAGGTTGGCATCTCAGAAGGCATCTTGACCTCGGGGGGGCTCCTCTGTCTCGTGGGCCTGGTATGGCGGAGGGGGATCTAGTTCAGACGAATCCGTCTCTGCGGAGATTCTAGATGGGGAGTCAAGTTTCCGACTGGACGTAGAGGTTTTCGGTTCGCTCTCTGCCATCGGATTTTTGACTCGCGCATTCTGCATGAGTGGTGGCACCAGATCTTCCGGTTGCACCCCATGCTCCGCGAGCTGCTCGATCATAATCTGCTCAGCAGAATTGATATCCATATGAGCATAGACTCGCCCCATGATCGCCTGGCCCCATTTTCGGCTGGAATCCGAAGCTTTCTGCATCGTTTTGCGCGTGGACTTGGTTGTGGCAATCGATGCCAGATCATGATTCATATTATGGATTGCCAACCTGACAACCCCCACATACGCGATCTTTTGAGTCTCATTGAGAAGATCTTTGGTGGCCTGGAGCTGGCTGATGGAATCTCGCAATTCCTCGCCAACTAAACCAGCAGAATTGTCGCCTGCCTCTCGAAACAGGTAGCTTGTATCATCATCTAGACTTGTGGCAGACTGAGCATCTTCGTCGAGCTGCACCCGAGTATAACCCCTCCCTGCTCCTCCCAATCCTTGGTATACAGCCTCGTCGCCTTCTTCTTTGGCGCCACGAGCAACGAGTCTCCCATAGTCGTCATAGTAGTCAAATTCTCCAAGTGCAGGCATCGATTGCCATTCATCGGGCTCTGCGTCTGATTCTTCACTCTCGGGTTGATGTGCATCAGGTTGGGCGAGGCGCTGATGTGACCATTCTGACACCTGGGCGGTTCTTTGTTTCGATGTTGAGGTCCGAGGCTGGGCATGTGCACCAGAGGCCGGTGAATACTCCGGAGGTGCGGAAGTGTCCTGGGCCTCTGCACCCTTGCCTCCCTCTTCTGTATTATTCGGATTGGCTGGCTCAGGGGCCCCTGAATCCAGCTTGCGCTGTGGCAACTCCAGCTCCTTCTCCTTTTTCACGGCATCACTATAGCCCGTCGAGCTTACCGCCACATTCTGAATGTTATGGCTTGCATTCTCTCCTTCGGGGGTCTCGCGGGGTGTGGGGTCGGGTCGGCGTGCTCGAATGGGAAGGCCAAAATCATCTACTTCATCTGATGCGGGAGGATCTTGTTTAGCAGACCCTGCAGCAGGTTCGGGTGCTACTGGTTGAGATGCCGAACGCTCTGTCTCCTTTTCATTCTGATTTGTGGGGGAATCACCCTTCGATTGGGGTTCCTGCTGGGACGAAGTGGTGGCGTTCGGCGGGTTAGGTATAGGGTGATCGGAGGTGTCTACGGTGACACCCGAGGCTGCGGTCATGATTTCATGGACTGGAGGCTCTTGGGGCCCTTAAGGTGGTGTATCGGATCCCGGTTGTCCCTTGCGTCCTCACGTTCCTTCGCGATACCTTCAGGAGCTCACCCATCCGGCCTCACAATTGTTGCGTTGAGCTTTTAAGCTCTTATTTGGGTATGTTCGTCTTATCACGAGTTTCCCACGTCCGATTGTGGGCCACTAGATGGTCGGACAAGCTTGAGCAATCTCCGGCAGATGACCACGCGGCGGAAAAGGAGGGGCGGAGAATGCGGCGGAGAGATCAATTAGCCAGCACAGCAGCCACAACAAAGGATTTAAGTCAAGTTTGTAATTAAAAAGGGTTTAAAGAGTTATTGTAGAGAAAATACTTGGAAGTTGTTTGGGGGAGGTTAGGCAGATAGCAAAAGGAACTGTTGAGGGACCGAAAGCGGAAATGCGCCCATCAGGTCTGATGCTAAATAAACAAGTCTGAATGAAAACAGTAGATATTTAAATACTTGAATACTTGAATACCATATACATTCTTGTCGATACGGTTGATATTCTCTACCCTTTATTCCATGAGAGAGCGTTACACATTTAACAGGTCAATGCTTGTGAGGTCCACGTCGGAATAGCTGCATGTCTACTCCATACCACGTTTGTGGCTGCCTTATTGTATTTTGTCGAACAAAGCATAAGAAATCCCGGGAATCGGAGATAACGGAACCTTTGAATTAGCTTGACTTTCATTCCAGATCCCGGTTCTTATGATACGAGGTCATTGCCACAATGCTTCGCCCTGGGAGAAAACCCGGGTAAAGACCAAGGGTAGGGGTCTTTCACGGACACCCGAAGACCTCCGGTAGAGAGTCTGCCCTTTTGATAAGGGCGAGAAAGTCTTGATAAATAAATCCAAGGCAAGGGGTCTAGCGCAACGTCGTGTCGACGTTTGAGGCAGTGCCAGGGTACTTTGGCCCGGGACTTCAATATAACAGAAAAACACGTGTGGACGTGCTAGATGATTTCAGGTTGAAGATCGGCTCCGCCCGTCCTTGTAAGCCAACGAGAATGCGAGAAAGCATAGATTATGACGCCATAAATCGCGGGGATACAAACAGAGAATCCCCGGGGTTCAAATGCATATGTCAGGCGTGAGTCACTTGATATGCAGTAGGCT